AGTGACAAAACCGAAACCGCGCACATCATATATGTATGATTTCGTGTCTAGCGCTATAATTTAAACGCCCTGCCTGGGATAGGGGCAGCTATAGTACAGCCACGACCGATAGTTGCCAGATGCCACCTAGAAAAATAATCCAGGCCAACATTCTTGGGTGTTACAGCGTCAGTATTGAGCAAGCCACCAAGGCTGGCGCACGCAGCACGAGCTCACAGCACCGCTGTTCAGCTTGTGACCACAGCATCGCCTACAAATGCCATAATATATATGACACTGCTGTTATTTAGCAGTGATAGTATTACTGAAGTCCCCTGACTGTCATAAAACTGACCAGGATTCTGATAATAGCAGGATTGTGGTGATATTTAGCGCTGTGCTCCATGGAGGGAGGAGTAAGGCTGTGGGAGGGAGGGTTGTGGCGTCGTTTTCTGACTGTGTGTGGCCACTATTTATTGACTGCACTCACCATACCAATTTAGTGGTTCGCTATGGTGAACACAAATGTAGATAGTTATATATAACGTGTGTATAGTGTGAGATAAAAGCGAGAGGAGTAGGTTGGGAGCCGCCATTTTCGTGAGGGAGGAGCGTTGTCTGCATGACTTGGCATGTTGTTTACTGATGGCCACTATGGTCTTTGGGCACCATACCAGCTAATTTGTATAGGTATGGTGAATAAAACGGGTAGATACTTATATATAATGTGTGTATATAGCGTAATAACACCACAAACAATATTGTTGGAGGAGAAATATTAGTGCGTCGGGCCTTGAGGGCTGCCACCGATCAGCTGACTGTGTGAGTAGCTACGTCTTTGTGCCTTTACTCACCATACAAGCTTAGATGTACAGTTATGGTGAACAAAACATGTAAATACGTACATATAACGTCTGTGTATAGTGAATAAATGCAAAAACAGTATTGTGGGAGGTGAATGAGGGTGAGTGAGGTGGTGTTGAGGGAGGGAGTGGCAGTGAGTGGCTCGCTGGTGTTTGGTGGTCACTCCTCGTTGCTTTTTGACTCGCAAGACAAACATAGTAGTTCGTTATGGTGAACAAAACATGCAGATACTTATATATAACCTGTGTGTATAGTGTAACAACAGCAAAACTATTTGTTTATTGTTTTATGAACATAATAATTGAATCACTAATATGCACACAATAATTTTGAGTACAGCGATGGTTCACACATTTTATTATATAAATAAACCACAATTCACTGTATGGAATAATATTACTGCAAATAAACTAAGAAAAAATCAATCAGAGACATTGAAATAATTAGGTAATAATATATTTGTGGCAACTGCCGTCTGACAGCTCGGGCGGAGTAGACCTCGCCTGGCGAAGGCTCTGCCAACGCCCCTTTTCTGGGGGGAGCCCCGTCGGCTCCCTGGAGCTATCCCAGGCTGATATGCTAATGTCAGACTTTGGCATCAGTCATGTGTATGGAGTTCTTAGGCCTACCGGGGACCACGGCCAGAACCGGGCCCCCTCAGAGAGGCAAGGGAAGCAATGGCCTATAGAAGCCCCCATGTGGTTTCAAGCATTCTATGTCTGCCATCGACCGGAACAGGCACCCAAAAAGGTAAGCGCCTCAAAACAAACCCCTATTCTGGTTAAAATTGCTACCAAAAGCCGAAATAGTGGATAGAACTCCCCAACCGAAAACAAGCAAACTAGTGTGACGTCACACACCGCCGCGCCGCTGTCTGCGCAGCTCCCCCCTCCCCGGGAGGGGGAAGGGGGAGCCCCAGACCCTCCACGCCGGCTACCCACACCTCAGTTCTTGAGGCTGATGCTATAGGCGATGGTCGTGTGCTCTGGCTCCGGTGTCGCTACTGCACTGTGCTTTGCGTGTGGTGTTGGTTTTGTGGGTGCGAGAGCCAGGAGTTATCTTCAGTACTCGGGCTGCATGCGCCTAGGGCTGCCTTCCCTAGGTGCCCTGTAAGTACTGCCCTTGGGGCTTGGGGCCACCTTCCACAGGCTCCTCGGGGTCTGCCTCTGCTGGTCCGTTTTACCTTTCAGTTTTTCGGCCGCCTGTTGGGCTCTTGGGTGTTCTGTTCTCCCTTGTTACCGGCAGGTAAGAGGCAGTTTTTCACTGGTAGGGGCGCAGGGTGCTGCACAGCTTGTATTCCCGACATCGCGACCAGCTCTGTTCCTTGGGGTTCGCTGTCCTCTTGTGGGGTTTTGTTTTTCTTTTTGTTTTTGCCTGGTGGGGGGTTCTGTCATTTTATTCAGTTTGTTTTTGCCCTTCCACTGTTCTCCTCGGTGGCGCCCCCTGCTAGGTCCCCTGGGGTTCAGCTATAGAAGTTTGCTTGGTAGTTTTGGGCGCCGGTTTGCAGCACCCTGCCTGGGACTACCTGAGCGCGAGTCCTCTTAAAGTAAACGCTCAGGACCCTGGGAATCCCCTAGGGGGCGCGTGGGTCCGATGGATGTGACCCCGGAGTCCCCACTTGCTGTGTGCGAGTTTGAGGGTTGCTCGGTCCCCTTGTCTCAGGGTGACCCTCATTGTTTTTGCCTCTGCCACGCTGCCTGTTGGGTCGGTGATACTTTCGATCCTGAGTCCTGTGAGTGTTGCTGCTTGCTTGTGACTCAATTTACCCAATTCTCTGATGATTCTATTCGGGTACAGGCGGCGCGTGTGTTGCAGTCTAGGTTTCATATGTTGCAACACGCTCGGTTGGTTGCTCTCCCGGATGCCCCGGGGCTGCCCCGCTTTGCTTTTCGAGACCCGGACTTGGGGGTGGGGGTCGCTTCGATCCTGGTTCAGTCCGCACCTCCTCGTCCTTCCCCTTCTGTTCGTTCTGGTTCCCCCCCCCCTGCTTCCGGCCCCGAAGCGTCTGAGGGTTTCGGGGTCGGAGCAGGGGTTACTTGATCTCGAGACTCGGGCAGCTTCGGGGGGTGCCCCTTCCGGGGGGGGGCGGCAAAGGCATTCGAGTCTTGTCTCCCGGCCGAAGCTTCAGGGTCTGACCAGTGGGCCCCCCTTCCTCCAGCTTTTCCGGCTGCTCCTTCCTTGTCTTGTGGGGTCAGGGCTTGGGGAGAGGACTCGGCCTCGGGTCCTGTGGTGAAGGACCTCGAGGCTGGGGAGGGGCTGACTTGGGGGCCTTGGGCCACGCTGGACCCCGCCTGGGTTTTTCTTCCCTCTGAGCGGGGCTTATTGTTACAAGGAGTGGGGTTTTCTTTTCCCCCCTCTGCATACGAGTTGGATTTGGTGTTGGCCCCTCCCTGGGTTCGGTTCCGTGTTCCCCCAGGTACGTCGGTTCCGTCCTTCCGGAGGTTTTCGGCTTATAGCATCCAACCTGGTGTGGTGCGAGCGGCCTTTGCAGCTTACCTCCTGCGTGACCCGGATTATGCCTCCGAAATGGATCCATCCGAATTCAGGTTTGGGACTTTGTTCCCTTTCTGGCTCCGTTACGAGGTTCCGGAATCGTCCTGGCTAGCTGACTGCCCCTTGTTTGGTCAGGATTCCTGGCATTCTTTCTGTCGTTCCCGCACGCTGGAGTGGCGGGAAGCTTCCACGGTGCTTCAGGTTTTCCTGGGGGGCGAACTTTAATACCTGAATGAGTGCTTGTTTGCCCCTGCCCTTCCCCGCGATGTGGGCGTTATTCAGCTCCATGTGCAGGTTCCCTCCCTTTCGGCGGCGCTCGTTGCGGAGGACTTGCGCGCCCGGGGCCTTTTGGCTTCGGCCTTGCGGTTCTTTTCCCTCCTGGAGCTGTCTTCGGATTGGCTCGTCGAGGATGTGGGGACGCTTGGGTCCGTCCCGGGGTCCGGCACCTTGTCTTCGGCTGCGCGTTCGTCGGCTGCCTTGTTGAAGCTGTTCACGCCGATTTTGCGGGATGCGGTTTCCCTGTTTTATGCTTCCCGTCTCGCGTGTCGGCAGGCTGTGCTGGGTTCCTCCATGGAATCTGCTTGGGCTCTGGCTCTTAGGCGTTCTTCACCTTTTTGTCCTCTTCTGTTTGAGGAGTCGGCCGTGGCGCAGTTTACTCAGGCTGCGTCGGCGGCTTGTCGTCCGATGTTGGACTTGTTGGTTTTCCGGGGGTCCCGGGGTGGGTCTTCCCGGAAAGGTCGTGCCAGGGCTCGGGATTCCTCTCGTCGTGGTAGGCCTCTGGTGTCAGATTCGGGGTTGGCTCCTCCTGCGGACCCTCCCTCGTCTGGTCGGCGCGGTGTTCGCGCTGTGTGGGGTTCTGGGTCTCGTATGGGTCGCCGGCCCTTTCGCGGTTTGCCCCCTTTACGGGGCAATGGGGGGGGCGGCTTGTACTGTTCGCCCGCACCTGGTCCCACGATTCGTGGGCCTTTCAGGTCATGTCTCGCGGCCTGCGGTGGTGTTGGGTGGCCCCTCCCCCCTTCGGGGGGTCGGGGCTGGCAGGGCAGGTTTCTTTCCCTGCGCTCTGTCGAGTCGTCTTGGAGTGGGTACGCTTGGGCGTCATCGAAATGACGTCTTCCCTCAGATGGGTTTCCCGTCTGTTTCCGGTTCCGAAACGGGACTGCGCGGACCTGCGGTTCATTCTGGACTTGTCCTGTCTGAATCCCTGGGTTCATTGCCCCTCCTTTCGGATGACTACGCTGTCTCAGGTTCGGCTCCTCTTGGAGCCGGGAGCTTGGATGGTGTCCCTGGACCTCCGTGACATTTATTGGCATGTCCCGATTCATCCGCGGTTCAGGGACTGGCTCGGTTTTGTTGTGGGGCGTCTGAGTTACCGCTTTCGTTGTCTCCCATTCGGGTTGAACCTGGCACCTCGCGTGTTCACGCGCCTTACACAGGTTGTGGTGACTCGTTTGCGTCTCCTAGGTGTTCGGGTGTTGGCCTACCTCGACGACTGGCTGGTTTGGGCTCCCAGCCAGTCAGCTTGCTTGCTAGCCAGGGATTTGGTTCTTTCCCAGCTCGCCGAGTTCGGGTTCTTGGTGAACTGGAGGAAGTCCCATTTGGTTCCCTCTCAGGTTCGGACTTGGCTGGGTCTCGTTTGGGACTCTCGAACCGCCTCCTTGTCTCTAACTCCGGAGTCTCTCCTGCGGCTGCGGTCCCGCCTTCGTCTGTTTCAGGAGGGCCCTCGGGTCACCCGGCGGTTGCTCGAGGGGCTGTGCGGGAGCCTGAACTTCGCAATGGTGGTTTACCCGCCGGGTCAGGTTTGGCTTCGACGGCTGTTCTGGTTCCTTCGGGGTTCCCCCTTCCGCCTCTCTCGCGATCGCAGAGTTCGACCCCCGGGGGCCTTGCGTCGGTTGCTGCGTCGCTGGCTTCCTCTTCAGGTTTTTCGGGGTTCAGTGCCTTGGCGCCTACCCGAGCCCTCGCTCGATGTGTACACGGATGCGTCGTCTCTCGGCTGGGGTTTTGTGACCAGTGCTCACCAGGCCGGCCAGGGGCGTTGGGATCCGTCCTTCCGTCGAGCTCACAGCACGGTGCGGGAGTTCGCGGCAGTGTGGTTTGCTTTGGGGAGGATTCGGGTGGCCCGCGGATCAACGATTCGGCTCCATTCGGACTGCTCTCCGGTGGTTCATTGCCTGAACCGCGGGGGTTCGATGCGGTCCTTGTCTCTTTGGGGTTGGTCACTTTGGGTGACTCGTCTGCTGAGTTCTCGGGGTTTGGCTCTCCTGGCGGTTCACGTACGGAGCGTGTCCAACGTCTTGGCCGACGCCCTGTCTCGCTTCGTTCCCCTCTCCACGGAGTGGACGGTCGACGACGAGTCCTTCCGTTGGCTTTGCCAGACATTCGGGCACCCCGAAGTGGACCTCTTCGCGTCGGCGTGGTCGCGGCGTCTTCCCGTTTATGCGGCGCCCTTCCCCGATCGCGAGGCCGTCGGGGTCGATGCCTTTCGGCTAGACTGGTCGAGGTGGGGGTTCCTGTACCTCTTTCCCCCGGTTTGGCTGTTGCTCCAGGTCCTGACTCGCTTAGAGACTTACCAGGGGAGAGTTGTCCTTCTGGCCCCTTGGTGGCCGGCCCAGCCTTGGTTTCAGGCGCTGGTTGCTCGGTGTCCGAACCCGAGGGTTTTCCCGCGGCTTCGCCTCTTTCAGCAGATCGGGCCGGTACGTCACGTGGCTGGTTCGGTCTTCTCCTTGAGTTTTCGCGTATGGTTTTTTTGACTCGAGTCTATCATCATCTCTATGGTGATCAGGTGGCCTCCTTGTTGGTGTCCCACCTGAGGGCTTCTTCTCGGCGGCAGTATGAAGTTTCCTGGCGGTCCTTCCGTTTCATTTTGCGTCTTCGTCGTGTTAGTTCCTTGTCTGTTCGGATGGTCTTGTCCTTCCTCTCTTGGTTGTTTCAGGACCGTCATCTTATGCCTAACACTGTCGCTTCGTATCGTGCGGCGCTGGCGGAGCCGCTTCAGCTTGCTTTCGGTATTGATGTTACGTCTGCGCCGTTTCGCAAGCTGTCTCGTGCATTGTTTCACCTTTGGCCTGTTCATGCGTCGCCTGAGCCGTCCTGGTCTTTGGACAGAGTGCTCGCTTTCCTTTCATCTCCTCGTTTCGTTGTGGCCCCTTCGGTCCAGGATTGTTTTTCCAAGGCACTTTTCTTGTTGGCTTTAGCCTCTGGGGGTCGAGTTGGGGAGCTTCATGCTCTCCTCCGGCGCAGGGGTTTCTGCTCTTTTGGTCGTGGTGATCGTTTTGTTCGTTTGCAGCCGTCTCCTTCTTTTCTGGCGAAGAATGAGACTGCTGCGTTCCGGAGGGGTCCATGGGTGGTTGATACTTGGTTGGTCAGGCCGGGGGTGCATCATGTTTTGTGTCCGGTTGCGGCGCTTCACCGTTATTTGCGCGCCACAGCTTCTGTGTCCGGGGATGCGCTGTGGGTTGATCCGGTTTCCCTTCTTCCCTGTTCGCGGGTTCGGGTCTCTCAGGTCATCCGCAGGGTTATTAAGTCCAGCCAGCCTGCGGTCTATCCCCGTGCCCATGACGTTCGTAAGTTCGCGGCTCTTGCTGCCGTCTTTGGGAATATGTCTTGGTCTGATATTCGGGCACGGGGATTTTGGCGGTCGAACAGGGTCCTGGCTGCTCGTTACCTTGTGAATGTCCCTGGGCCTCGTCGGGCCTGTGTTGCTTTGGGACGGCGGTTGCAGCCAGTTGTCTCGGCTTCGAGTTGAGGAGTGAGCGACGAATGCCTCCCGGGTAAGTCCCTCTTTTTTCTGTCTGTGGGTAGTTAGCTCCAGGGAGCCGACGGGGCTCCCCCCAGAAAACCAGCGTTGAATGTAATGAAACGCCATTTTCTGGGTGAGTCCCGGAGTCTCCCCGGCATCCCTCCCTCCCTCCGGTCGGCGGTTTTTCGCGTCTTTGACATCCAGCCTCAAGAACTGAGGTGTGGGTAGCCGGCGCGGGGGGTCTGGGGCTCCCCCTTCCCCCTCCCGGGGAGGGGGGAGCTGCGCAGACAGCGGCGCGGCGGTGTGTGACGTCACAATAGTTTGCTTGTTTTCGGTTGGGGAGTTCTATCCACTAGTTCGGTTTTTGGTAGCAATTTTAACCAGAATAGGGGTTTGTTTTGAGGCGCTTACCTTTCTGGGTGCCTGTTCCGGTCGATGGCAGACATAGAATGCTTCCAACCACACGGGGGCTTCTATAGGCCATTGCTCCCCTTGCCTCTCTGAGGGGGCCCGGTTCTGGCCGTGGTCCCTGGTAGGCCTAAGAACTCCATACACATGACTGATGCCAAAGTCTGACATTAGCATATCAGCCTGGGATAGCTCCGGGGAGCCTCCGGGACTCACCCAGAAAATGGCATTTCATTACATTCAACGCTGGTTTTTTGATAATTATTTATACAATCGTCAGTGAAATGTATTTGGTTAAACAATTATTCATTGAGTATATGCATTTATTTTGGAGCATTACCATGATATGCTTATAGCTATTAGATGTAATTACATATATGATTTCATTATGGAGGCCTTCCTGGGATGGGGTTCACAAAATGGTCAAAATATGCTGACTTGGCACTCTGTCTTGAGAGAGATTGACCTGTTCTATAAATAGCCATGCCTGGTCCATGTGCTTTCATAGACTATGTTACTCAGACATGCTATAATTTTGGTGGAAACTTTCCATACCATTAAATTTAGTTAGTTTCTAAATCCGTTGCCAGTGTATTTTCGTCTTGAAAGTCTAATCATTGTTTTTTAATCTTGACAATAATGACTAGCAGCAAAAATTATTAACAGCCATATTCCTTTTATTTATCAGGGAAGTGATCTGGTGAACAGGGTGCTAACAACTGGACACACTGTGACGGGTAAGTTGGTACACTGTAGTCCTCAAGCAGGAATGATCTCACCATACTACTAACCTGTTAATTGTTTAACTGTAACACTCGAGGCTGCCACTCACTATTTGGCATTCCAACAATCTGAAATTGATTAAAAGCTACAGTGGAACCTCGGTTTGCGAATTTAATTGGTTCCAAGAGATGGATTGTAAACTGAATATTCACATACCGAATCAAATTTTCCCATAAGAAATAATGTAATTTACATTAAACACTTCTGCTTGCCTTCCACATACGGCAGGAGATGAGTCACAATAACGTGGCTGAAGTATGTTGACCAGACCACACACTAGAAGTTGAAGGGACGACGACGTTTCGGTCCGTCCTGGACCATTCTCAAGTCGATTGTGAAGAGGAGGTAGAGACAGGCAATAAATAGGCAAGAGAGAGCTGAGGAGCAAAGTAAGGTGTAGGGAATAGTAGTAATAATGAGAACTGCAGAAGGCCTATTGGCCCATACGAGGCAGCTCCTATTATAACCACTGAATGAGGAGATAGTAATAGGTATAAGAAGAGGATAACAAGGGAGCCTAGGAGAAGACAATGAACAGAAAAAGGGGAGAAGAGAGAAAGAAAAGGAAAGAGAAGAAAGATAAATGGAAGGGGTAAGCTTATGTTAAGTCACGTTTGTTAGAAAGATTAGAGCATTTGAGTATATACTGTGAAAGGGAAGAGTCCACAGCAACAAAGCCAGGACTCAAGTTCATGTTGGGTACATTGTGTATCAGAGCCGATTCTACAAGACGGCGTTTGTGAAGAGTAGAGGCAGGAAAGATTATTTTGGAGGAAGACCAATCAATGAGATGATTAGAATCCCTCACATGGCAGAAGAGAGCATTGTTAGTGTCTGCAGACTTGACACTTATCTTGTGTTCTTTAAGTCTGTCATTCAGTGTACGGCCAGTTTCGCCAAAGTATTGGAGAGGACAAGATGAACAGGAAATAGAGTAGACACCAACAGCATTAGAAGCAGGAGGAGCAGTGTGAACTAGATTGCTACGAAGTGTGTTAGTTTGTCGAAAGGCGAGTTTAATGTCAAGAGGACGAAAGATATTGGTAAAAGTTTTGAGTTCAGATATGAAGGAAAGGCATAGTACAGTGCTTCTAGTGTTGGAAGCAGGTTTTGGATGAAAGAAATTTCGTTTAGCTTGAGAGTAGGCATAGTTGATGAAATGCAAAGGATAACCAAGGCGAGAGAATGATTTGTAGATAAAGGCAATTTCAGAATCAAGAAACTGAGGGTCGCTGTTGCGTAGAGCGCGGAGGAAGAGAGAGACGAGGACACTTTTCTTAACAGGAGGAGGATGGTAGGAAAAGAAGTGAATGTACATGACACTATGCATGGGTTTACGATAGACAGAGAAAGAGAACCCAGACACAGAGCTGTGAACATGAACATCAAGAAAAGGAAGGAGGGAATTAGATTCCCACTCAACTTTGAAATGGATAGAAGGAGCCAGATTGTTAAGAGAGGCGAGGAAAGGCTGGAAAATATTAAGGTCATGAGGCCATAAAGCAAAAATGTCATCAACATAGCGAAGCCAGAGAGAGGGACGAGTATCAATAGAAGGAAGAAGAGCAGTTTCGAAGTATTCCCTGTAGAAATTAGCAAGAACAGGGGAGAGAGGGAAACCCATAGTGACACCGAAAGTTTGAGTGTAATATTTACCGTTGAAAGAGAGAGAGTTAGTCAACACAGAGTCTAATGAGATCGAGGAAAACGTCAGTGGGAAGCGGGAGAGGCACCTTCTCCCCCCCCCCCTGTTTGCAGGAAATAATTTCTCTGGAAAAAAATTTTGTTTTTGAAATGTTAAATACCCTTGCTGATCAAATATGTGAAAAAAAAATTGAAATTGTAGTAATTGTAATTACTTTGGCTGCAATGGGATCCGGAAAATGGCATGTGATTTACGATTTGGTGGTCGCCCATGGCGTAGACTCCTGAAGCTAGTCGCCCGCCAGTTTCAACATGTGCGAGTTGCCACAAATATTTTTTTGTTTATTTGTGGCATACATTTCCAAATACATTTGTTTTGTTTTTTCTTGCCAATCCTATGTATAATGAACACACATACAATATTATGGCAGTAGAACATCCGTACTGTCCGAAGACACTGTGTTGTGTGTGTCTCAAATGTGTTCACATATATTGCTCATATATCCAATGTTTCATGTTCATTTATGTACATTTACAACATATTTACACACTATACACTATCACACACTATATACATTCTCCATCAACACACTCAGAACTCTGGGAGTGAGAGCTGCCACACCCAGCCAGCTCTCCCTCACTCCTCCAACACCTAGCTTAATCCTTACACCTTACTCACCAACATTGCTCCTCCCACCATACTCTTATTGTTTTTATTACACTATTTACACACGTTATGTATATGTATCTACATGTTTTATTCACCATAACTATGCAAGTAAGCTGGTATTGGGTCCAAACAGCATAGTGGCCACTATACAATGCATGAGAAATTGCACAGCAGCCAGCAGACAATGGTACGAGTATGATGCCATCTCCCTCACCAAAATGGCTCCTCCCAACATACTCCTGTTGCTGTTATTACACTATTTACACACATTGTATATTCCCATGTGCATGTGTGTTCACCATAGCGAACCATTAAGCAAGTATGGTGAGCAAAACAAGAGTGGCTGTCGCACATAGTGACGCTACCTGGATTTCCTCCCTCGCTCCCTCACCAAACTTCCTCATCCCACAATACTACGCACAGGGCTAATTATCACCACAATCCTGCTATTATCACAATCCTGGTCACTAAATCCTGTAAGTTAATAATTGACCACAAGTTTATTTTGTAAAGTAACATAAGGAGTCATTTGAAGATTTCTAGATGGACGAAATAATGCTGTTGTGCTGTGGCTAGCGCTGTGAATATCGTGAACAGCATTGATTCACTGATATTTGAACATTGTACACAGTCATTATCACACTCAAGCTCTTCTGTAATACTGTCATGGCTAAATAATACCAGTTATATATATATTTTGACATTATTAAGAGATAATGTGGTCACAAGCTGAACAGCAGTGCTGTGAGCTCATGTTGACAAAGATGTTGCCACGGCTCTGGCAACCTGTAGTGGAGGACGAGATGACCGGCCAGCCACTGAGGGCGGCAGGGCAGCCAGATGAGGGCCCTCCCCACTAAGCTGGGATTGTGGAGTGGTGGCTGAATACATGCCCAGGCACATCAACTGAGGTAGAGCATAGTAGGTGTAAGGCATTTCTAAAAAAGCTGAACACAGTACACAACACACATGGGGACACCATCGACTGGTGCGGGCCGACCGCTTCAACAGTTGTGGCCAGACAGCAGACATGTAGAAACAGCAACAACCATGGGCATCAGTAGTAGCCTAGAGACAGCTGAGATGCTACAGTGGACGACAGCTTCACAGTTGTTAGCAGACAGCTCAACAGGCGTGGCCAGAGCTGGTTGAGGAACAGGCGTGGCCAGAGCTGGTTGAGGAACGGGCGTGGCCAGAGCTGGTTGAGGAACAGGCGTGGCCAGAGCTGGTTGAGGAACGGGCGTGGCCAGAGCTGGTTGAGGAACTGGCGTGGCCAGAGCTGGTTGAAGAACAGGCGTGACCAGAGCTGGTTGAGGAACGGGCGTGGCCAGAGCTGGTTGAGGAACGGGCGTGGCCAGAGCTGGTTGAGGAACGGGCGTGGCCAGAGCTGGTTGAGGAACGGGCGTGGCCAGAGCTGGTTGAGGAACGGGCGTGGCCAGAGCTGGTTGAGGAACGGGCGTGGCCAGAGCTGGTTGAGGGACGGGCGTGGCCAGAGCTGGTTGAGGGACGGGCGTGGCCAGAGCTGGTTGAGGAACGGGCGTGGCCAGAGCTGGTTGAGGAACGGGCGTGGCCAGAGCTGGTTGAGGAACGGGCGTGGGCATCATTTAACAGGCACAGCCTCTGCAGATGTGGATGACAGGATAAACAGGAACAGGTGTGGGACTACACCAGATAACAGCCTCAGTAAATGGGGAGATAGCATAAACAGGTGTAGGCCACCACTTCAGAGAACCAGACACAATAAGAATTCCAGAGAACAGCATAGAAGTGTCTAGAGAAGAAGTGGAAAAATGCTCAAGGAGTTAAGTGAGAACAAAGCAGTTGGCCCGGATGTAGTTTCACCATGGGCTCTGAGAGAATGTGCACCTGAGCTTAGCATTCCAATTCAATTGATTTTTCAGGCATCCCTGTTTACATGAGTCTTATCAGATGTGTGGAAAAGGCTAACATAGTTCCAATCTACAAAAGTGGCAGCAGGGAAGACCCCCTCAATTACGGACCTGTATCATTGACAAGTGTAATAGTAAAAATATCGGAAAAAATAATTAAAACTAATGGGTAGAACACCTGGAGTAAAATGATTTGACAGACAGTATAGTTTTTGATCTGAAAGAGCCTGTGTAACAAATTTACTCAGTTTCATTCGAGCTACATTGATTTAACAGGAAAGAGGTGGTTGGATTGACTGCATCTACCTGGACCTAAAAAAGGCTTTCGATAGTTTCACATAAGAGGTTGTTCTGGAAACTGAAACATATTGGAAGAGTGACACGTAGGCTTCTAACATGGATGAAAAAGTTTGACAAAAAAATGAGGGCAGTGTTCAGAGACAATGTATCGGACTGGAGAAATGTCACAAGTGGATTACCACAGGGTTCAGTTCTTGCACCGGTAATGTGCATTGTCTACATAAATGATATACCAGATGGAATTCAGAATTATATGAACGTGTTTGCTGATAATGTTGAGTTAATAGGGAATATAAGAAACTTAGATGATTGTCATGCTCTTCAAGAAGACCTGGACAAAATAAGTGTATAGAGCCTCACTTTGCAAATGGAATTTAATGTGAGTAAATGCCATGTTATGGAATGTGGAATAGGAGAACATAGACCCCACACAACCTATAAATTATGTGAGAAATCTTTAAAGAATTCTGATAAAGAAAGGGATCTAAGGGTAGTTCTAGATAACAGTCCCCGTGTTGTAGTGGTAAGACACTCGCCTGTCGTTCCGCAAGCGCCATGTCATGGGTTCGTATCCTGGCCGGGGAGGATTTACTGGGCGCAATTCCTTAACTGTAGCCTCTGTTTAACGCAACAGTGAAATGTGTACTTGGATGAAAAAACGATTCTTTGCGGCAGGGGATCATATTCCAGGGACCTGCCCGAAACGCTACGCGTACTAGTGGCTGTACAAGAATGTAACAACTCTTGTATATATCTCAAAAAAAAAAAAAAGATAGAAAACTATCACCTGAGGACCACATAAAGAATGTTGTGTGAAGAGCATATGCTACACTTTCTAAATGCTTTTAAATACAAGGATGGTGAAATACTGAAGAAATTGTTCACGACTTTCGATAGACTAAAGCTGGAATATGCAGCAGTTTTATGGTGCCCATATCTTAAGAAGCACATCAACAAACTGGAAAAGGTGTAAAGACATGCAACTAAATAGCTCCCAGAACTGAAAGACAAGAGCTGCAAGGAGAGGTTAGAGATATTAAATATGCCAAAACTAGAAGATGGAAGAAAAAGAGGCGATATGATCACTACATATAAAATAGTAACGGGTATCGATAAAATGCATACGGGGAATTCCTGAGACCTGGAACATAAAGAACAAGAGGTCATAGATATAAACTAACTTGACAAAGCTACTAAAGAAATATAAAAAAAATTAACTTTCGCAAACAGTAATAGATGGGACAAGTGAGGCGAGGTGGTGGTGGAGGTCAAAACTGTCAGTAGTTTCAAATCGTTATACAACAAAGTACTGGAAAGACAGGATACCACGAGTGTAGCTCTTACCCTGTAACTACACTTGGGTAATTGCAGATGACGGATGCCCCAAAGCGAGGCAAGGAAGCCCAGGAGCAACGCCACTGACTGGGTGTTGGGCATGTGAGAGTAGCGTCACAGCTCCCGCCAAGATTCTCGAATAGGCCTACATGTCTGCCATTTTGAGACACAGAATTTTGTTGTCCTGTAAGTGAGCACATTATCCCGCAGTACATGACTCCTTCACATGTGTAAATAAATTATAATAGTGCACTACGACTCGTCAACATCCCCAAAACAAAAATAATTGTGCCAGAATTAATACTGCAAAACTTACATCTTGTTAAAATAAAGTTGTAACACATCCACCAAATACTGCAAAGTGAACCAGGAGATAACACCAGTGAAGTCTTATAATTACTTTAAAATGACTCCTATGTTCAGTGACTAGTAAATTACAAGAATAAAGGGTAATAATGGTAGGTAATCACATAAGCGGATAAGGCTTGCAAGGGCTTTCCAGAAACTAAAGTTTGCGGGATCCTCAAACTGCCGTGTAAGGGCACGAGCTTGAAAGCTGTATTGTATTAACTCATGAAACCCGTCATTTACTTCCTTACTTGCAGTATAGATATGTTACTTTAAAACAAAATGTTGATACCATTTACCTGCAGTGTGTGAAGTCTCAGTCCTCTCTGTCCTCATGGAGTGGTATTTTAATTGGGAGAAACATTTATATTAATAACAACACAAACTAGACTTTATATACCAGTCATTACACCTTTCTGCATCTCTAGTGTCTTCTCTCCTGTTTCCTGAGGGTGTTGTTACTTAGTTTTGTCTTCTGTGGCCTCTGTTTATCCTGCTTCTTATTTGTGTAAGAAACAAGACCTTTTTTTTCAACACGACCTCTGTGGCCTTTGTTCGTTTGTCACCACCAGTTGTCTCTTCTTCGCTTTAATACGTGCAGTGCTTCCTCCTCCCTGGTAATTCCCATTTTATACCTTTTCCATGGGTAGATAACTTCAAGGAGCCACAAGAGGCTCCCCAGAAAACCAACGTTGAATGTAATGAATTTCTGGGTGAGCCCTAGTGGCTCGCTGACACCCTCCTTTCCCCAGTGTGTAAAGGTGGTTTCCATCATTGTAAGAACTGGTGGTTCTTTCAATGGCAACATTCTAGGATACTAACTTGCTACACAACAGTTTTTCCATTCGTGATGTATCATTGTGACAAAATGGGTGCTTATCTCTCCTGATGAGAAGTTATATATTTGTAAAACCTTCATGATTGTGAAACGATTTCGTTTGCATTATCTTGTGTGTAAAGAGCTAAATGTTTGTTTTAATATATCTACAGATTTTGACAATTTCACATTGTAGTTATTACTTTGTGTTTCTGCCATAATGTATTAAAATTAAGCAAAACTAATTTTAGCATTGTGAAATTATACTTCTATTTGGATAAGCATAACACAGTAATGTAGTTAAAAAGTTAATATTTACTCTCTCAGATTATGCTCCGCCCACACCTCCAAATGGTACTGGCGTCCACAGGTACCTGTTTTACCTCTATCAAGAAACTGAAAACACAAATGCCACGGTTGAATCCATCACCAAGCGGGGCAAGTTTGATCTCGATGAATATGCCAAACAACACGCTCTCTGTGGACCAATTGCTGTCAACATGTTTTCTACTCAGTATTGAGAAACACCAATGTACTGGTATTGCTGTCCAATTACAGACACCAGGGCATGAGGTCTAGCACATGGTTACTGAAAATGGCACTCACTTAGGAGCTTCATTGTGATAAAACTTATAATTATGAATGCACTGTTTAACATTATACTTACCCTGATACACTCTTCCTTTGCCTAGAGTATGGATTTATTACAAATATTTTGGTTTAGTGTATGTTGTATTTTTTGTTTAATGTAATGCCATCCATTTTTAACTTGCACCATAAAATGTTTTCTGGTTATATATTGGTCCAATACTGTAGTTGGGTCATAGTAGTAGATTTCATGGTTTTACGTTGATTTTTGCTAGTATAAATTTAGTTAGAGGAACAAATATTGAATCTTGGTTTAAATAATAATTTTTGTTTTGAGGATGTTTGATACAGTAGTTGTTTAAAGCAAGTCTTCATAGCAAATCATCATTGTCATTTTGATAATGATGACAAAAATAGCTTTATTTATGAAGATACATTGGGTTATAGCTTAAATGTGTGTTTATTGAGCAGAATTACAAAGTGTGCTAAAATGAGTGCAGTTCTGATTACTGAAGTAATGCAGGATGGGGCTGAACATTGCTAATGAAATGTAAGAATCTCATCACTACCCAATTCTGTAGTTGACTAATGTAAGCTCTTATCCCATTTTGAGCAGGCTCTAGGTAAAGTTGCATTGACCCAATGTGTCGATGCATACTACTTGGCAACAATAATTATGGACAGACTTGTACATAGCATGTACACCTGGTTCCTCTTACAACATAACAAGTGTAGTAATGAATCTGTTCTTGTGGGAAGGTTATTTTTCATTATCTGAAAGTCGTGCTTTTTGTTACTGTGTTGCCATGTAACGGTAAACGTGCTCATGCCTATTTAATGGATCGGCATGCAACTTGTTGGTAAACACTGCCATAGAGCCAGTTGGGCAATTAATACGTTAAGAGGGGAAACTTTGTATTAACCAAGAACTATTAATCATAGTTGTACTTTGTATGTCATGCATAGGATTGTTTAGGTTGTACATTACTGATTTTTGAGATGCATCTTTTATTTTAATTCAGCTTTACTGGTACTGTGTTACTCTTTTGATTACTCTGATACCTGTAAATTAAATTCTTGGATTAATAAAATTGATAACGTTTTTGCCTTGAATTATTATTCAATTGTATACAAAATATTTTGGTCATATTTAACTGACTTAATTGCACACACTTCCCCGCTTGATGCTTTCTTTTGATAATAATTTGATCTAATATTTGTCTTGCCAGTGATCTCGGATGATCCTATACTGTATCTTCACGACCTGCTCCAGAGACAGTAACAGACTTGGTGGCATGGTAGGGGATCTAGTACTGTTAGTTCCTAGCTGGCCATGTTGGGGAATATGGGTGGTGGTTTGAGAACTGGTAACATCATCAATTCCAAATTGGCTGCCTGGTAGAAGCTGACTAAAGGTTGCTAGAAATCTCAACTGGGACACCAGGAGGGTTGCTGGATCCACTCACTGGAAGGGTCATGCTTGTAGCTATCCTGTGCTAGTTGGCCATGGATGACAGTATGTGGGGAAGGGTCACTTTACACTGGCATGGATGAATCTTTGCAGTGGAGGACTCGCCATTTTAAAAAATAGGAGTTCATAGCAATGAGGTGCCCTATCCTGAAACTACCACTCTTAGGGGCTGTTTTGCTTGTTTTAACAATTGTTGAAATTGGTGGGAAATAAACTTGATATCATACAAGTATGCATTGATCCCCAGATGTTTATGTAACCCCCGGGCATCACAGCTATTAATAGCAGACAACACTAGTGTGCACAAGAAAAAAATCTTACATTTTTTTCCTTTTAAGATCATTAAAATGCAATTCTTAATCACAAATAATAATAAAAAAATTGGAGACATATTTTAACATTGATAAGGCGAGGAAGTCTGGCAAGCTACAGGCGCTGAAAGAGATACATCCGGGGACTGGTCTACTACACCAGAACAGTCAGGTGGGAGTTGCCACAAGAGATATTATTACCTAATTATTTCAATAATTTTTTCATTTTTTTTCAGTAATATTATTCAGTAGCATATAATGTGATATATTTATATAATAAAATGTGTGAACCATCACTATATGCAAAAGTATGGTGTGCATATTAGTGATTCAATTAATATGTTCATTAAACAATAAATGAATATTTTTGCTGTTATTACACTATACAGACATTATATATAAGTACTGTATCTACATTTGTGTTCACCATAACGAACCACTAAGCTGGTATGGCGAGTCCAAACGATATAGCGGCTGCCCCCCACCTGTAGACTGACGATGTTATCTCACTGCGAAGATTCCTCCTCAAAGCATACTGTTTTTTGGTACTACACTATATTCACACGCTATATATAAGTATTTGCATGTTTTGTTCACCATAACTGTACCACTAAGCAGATACGGTGTCCAAACAATATTGCGGCCACACACTATCAACGCTGTCTCCCTCACCAACATTGCTTTTCCCACGATACTATGCACATCTCCCATCGATACTATCACCACATTCAATATTCTCAAGGGAATCAACAGGGTAGATAAAGACAGGCTATTTAACACAAGGGGCACACGCACTAGTAGACACAGGTGGAAACTGAGTGCCCAAATGAGCCAGAGAGATATTAGAAAGAACTTTTTTAGTGTCAGAGTGGTTGACAAATGGAATGCATTAGGAAGTGATGTGGTGGAGGCTGACTCCATACACAGTATGGAGTCTAAGTGTAGTATATCTAAGTATATCTGTCTAAGTGTAGATATGATAGAGCCCAATAGGCTCAGGAACCTGTACACCTGTTGATTGACGGTTGAGAGGCGGGACCAAAGAGCCAGAGTTCAACCCCCGCAAGCACAACTAGGTGAGTACAACTAAGTGAGTACATCGTAATTCTCACCACAATGCTGCTATCAGACTCATTGTTACTAAATCCTGTAAATGAATAATTTTCCACAAGTTTATTTTGTAAAGGAACATAAGTCGTGTCAAGGTTCTTCAATGGACCAAACAATAGCAGAGTGCTGTGGCTGCTGGCCTAGTGCTGTGATCAACTTGAACAGCATTGTGTTCACTGATATCTGAACATTGTACTCAAGCTTTATCAGTCAAGCTCTTCTCTGATACTATAACAGCTAAATAGCAGTTATATATATATATATATATATATATATATATATATATATGCAAACAAGCCTGAATGGTCCCCAGGACAATATGCAACTGAATATTGCAATTGACAATATGCAACTGAATATATATATATATATTATATATATATATATATATATATATATATATATATATATGTATATATATATATATATATATATATATATATATATATATATATATATATATATATATATATATAATATTATATATATATATTGTGACGGTAAAGCGTTGGTGTTCGGCTGTTTCAAAAGCTAGGGGCAGAGCCTCGTCACATAATCAAAAAAAAAAGAGAAAAGTTGGTCCTTTTGTCTGTGGTAAGGTAATGGGAAGACACACAAGTATATAAACAATGAAATTTTAATTACTCTAGAAAAACAAGACATGAATAAAGTTAATCACATAAAAATACGCAAGATAAGTCAACAAACAAAATAATATGAATAATCACTGGCAAATGAAAAGTTACGTTAAGACAAGTTACAGTGATAGCAAAATAAAATATTAGTGGTGCTGGAATGCTGGCTTCGAGCTGCCACCTCCCTTAGTACACGAAAGCCAAGGCTTAGTCTACCAGCGAGAGATGTCAACTGCTTGGAGCACTGAGATATTCTGACGATACTGCCGCACTGCAGCCCAGACGTCGACTTGTGGTGGCGGCGGAGGGCAGGTGCGACGGGACACCAGCCAATCAGCGACAGGCAGGCAAAGGATGAGCAGTTTGCTGGTTACGGTGGCTGTAGCAGGTGTCACGGTGTGCTGGATACGATTTGCTCTTTGGGCAAAACGTTTGGCGATACTTGGTGGACGTATCTTCTATATTATCTTGTATATTGACGTACTTATGTAGGGAAGAGCAGGCTCAATCTCTCTTGAAAGAGATTATCGTCACAATATATATATATATATATATATATATATATATATATATATATATATATATATATATATATATATATATATATATATATATATATTGCAGGGACCCACAGCCTCAAAGAAGGGAACACAGAGCATTCAGAGAAAAACTTGCTATTTAACTGAATACATATGAGTGTTCACTTCTACCACCCCCATTTTATTTTTTACACTTTATTATACAAGGTTATACAGTTACATATATGATTGTTTACAAAAAATGAACATTAAGAGGACATAAGAGGAAGCTTGTTCCTTAGAGGCTGTAGATTTCTTCGAACTCCTCTGACTCCAGGCAGGAACCGAGGACGCAGCGGGCATTTCCGCTCTGGACCGTGACGCTGAGGCACTGGAAGAGAGAACTTGCCACTCTAGGGTCTCTTGTAGTGTCAATGAGCCTGGAACCAAGATCCTTAAGAAATCTTGCGCTCTCTCCCCATGGGCCCAGGGTCTCAGATTCTATTGGAACGAAGTTGTACCGGTGATCTAATTCCCTGTACCTGGTTGACTTGTATCCCCCTCTGTGTGTTGCCGCGGCTCCTGCTTGGCCAACAAAGAAGTAGATGTATGTGGTTGCCAGGGTGGATACGCAAGTATAGTCCCACGCCAACTGTCTGCCACCCTTCCAAGGGCGCAGTGTGATTCCGTCTGGTCGACTGGCAAAGCTAACAGAGTCACGGTTCAATAGATTGCGGGGCTCTCTGCTGGACACTGGGCAGAAGCAAGGCACCTCTTAATGTCATTTACTTCGTCGTGCCTAGAGTGCCAACTGACAGATTTTCCACAGTGCAGGCCATGCAGTCCATATTTGTCAACATCTGCCTCGCCGCAAATACACCTATGAACAGTGTGGATAGGGGCAGCAAGGCAGAGAGCGACTGCAATACAGAGCTCCTGTGGATCAAAACGTGTGCCTGTCGCAGACATAGGGACTGCCAAGAGGAAGTCCCTTGCATGGGGAGCCTGCACAGCTGTGAGGCATGCACGATCACTAGGGAGGGTTGCTGCCTCCAGCAAAGCTGTGGCTTCTTTGTCAACAATGGGGCTTTCCCAGCTGGATTGTTTCTTGGCTACCCCACTTTGTGTCACATTCCGTGTAGTGGGAGTCATGTATCCCTGCAAAGTCACACAGGTTGTCAGGTAGAATTTCCTTAACCCAGGTCATCTGATGCTGAGGAGGAAGACAGAAAGGCTGGGACAGCAATTGGATGGTGGTGCAGACACCCAAGCCGCCGAGCCTGATAGGAAGGGTGACTTGTTTCCACTGGTATTCTTGGTGCCTTCTTTTGATAATTACTTACTTACTTCCACTGGCATTCGTTGAGGGAGAGTTTAAGAACTTTTTCTAGCATGGTTTTCAATAACAGGTCATACTCTTCAAGCTTTGGGCTGTCGTAGGATGGGGCGCAGCTCGGAAAGTAGGGTAGCCTCGGAAGGGATAGGCATTTAGTGAGATATAAAGCATCGTGGGCATCGATATTACCTATCCCATATTACCTATTCAAATGAGATGTTTTTATGATGTAATAAGTCAAAAGACTAATGTATTTAAGAATAATTCCCAACAGAATAGCTGGTGAATTTATAGTACTATGTGGCAATGATATCCCATTTTCTATAATCATATCTACCTACATTACTGGCCAATAATGACTTAGAAAAGATTTCGGAAAGACACTTCCCTTGTGGTTGTTAACAGCGTGTTGATGATGGTAGAACACTAAATTGATCTCTATAACACTTAGTCCAAGAGAAATTATAGGAGGTGAATTTGCTCTCTGGTCTTAACAATGGCTGACCTTCACTACTGACTCTGACCCTACTGGCTCACTTTTTCCAGATGTCAGCATGTGGTAGAAGGGTCACATTTACTCTATTATGATACTGATAATTAAGTTATTTCAAGTGAGATGTTTTTATGATGTAATAAGTCAAAAGACTAATGTATTTAAGAATAATTCCCAACAGAATAGCTGGTGAATTTATAGTACTATGTGGCAATGATATCCCATTTT